ACAAAGTTCATACCATTCAATGTTCAATACTTATTCTTCGCCCAATACTTGACTGACACCTGTTGTCTACACACCGTAACGATGTGCGTCGTGACATGAAACGTGATGTTCCGGTACCTGAAGATCTTGGCTTATGCGGGGAATTTTGGACGAAAGGCACCCTCCGAGTAGTCCAACGGCCTCGCGAATGCTCGTATCCTTCGTCTGAAGGCATGCCTTAGAAGGCGGGCTTATTGCGCAATTTGTCAGCTGAACATAATCGTCACGCAATGTGCCTGGTCGAGAATAGCATCCCATCTTCCATCCCACCACCACTTGTTCACTACACGTGTAGGAACTGAACCTTAGCAACTCATCAGATTGTCCAATGCACGACACCAAGTCCGAACTGCTCTAGTCGTCGTCTCTTTTTCTGAACGACGTTGTTGACGGCAGCTAAGCCAGAAGAGTCCGTCTCTTATGATGTTCAGCTAAGATCCTAGGATCGGCTCATCCACCCGTGAAGCGAACGATCATTTATCCACAAAGGCTGCAAATGTCTTCGCTAGTTGTAACCTCAGAGCCCAACATACCCATCCACCCCTGTAGCGATCCGCCAGCGCCGGGTGCTACGCTCACCGACTGCGTCGCATTCGTCAATCCGAGTCCTCCACCAAAAGTTCATAGCGATTGATGGCGGCTCATAGCGGCGGCGGCGGACACGGCAGGAACGGAAGCAATTGCTGTCTCCGGTGCGCGCACCTTGAGCCCGTCACTGCGTCGTCCGAAACGAAACAACATCGGAGACTGCGGCGACGCAACCTTCCAAAGACCGGACGGCAGGCATCCCTTCGCTCCACATCCAGGCACACCAGCAGGCACACCAGCGGCCGCCGATGCCGCAGGATAATCAGGACAGCCAGCAGCGACGTCCTTTGCAAACGCCGCGGGATCTGAATGGACTCGCCCATCGGCGCCCGGTCGTCGTCCCTTCATCTGCCCGTTGCGCCGAGTCAGCTAGTCCAGCCCTACAGCATGGACTTTGGGCTGACGGACGTTTTTTTGCAACCGGACCAGCCGACACCCGCCTGGGCGGCGCACACAGCGAGCTTACTTCGTCTGGAGGCAACGCCGCGATAACATCGGACGGTAGATCGGAAGCTGCGGACAACGGGTTAAGATCGCAATTATTCGCCATCCATTTCAGACAGGAGGCTGTTAAGACCTTGCAACTCCATGTAAACCAGCAGTCGGCGCTTTAATCAAGACACGAAACGGAAACATCTGCTCAAGACGCCCTGGTTCATATCGCCGGCGGGATAGAGCATGAGTCAATATCACCGAACAACGATGACAAAGTTTGCCACAAGAAACACCAGCTTGACGCTGTGAGCGCCAACGTTGCCCTTTCTGAACTCAACGTCGAGCAACTCGCCCGCCTAACCATTGGCACCAAATCTCTAGCCACAGGGGCAGACTTCCCAGCCTGGAAGAACGAGTACGCGGTTGTCGGCAAAGTCTGCCTGTCTCTTCATTGTGACGATCTTGAACAAGTTGTATTCACGGTACCTGAAAAAGTGTGTCGCGAGTCTGAACCATGGATCGGATCAAAAACCCGAGAGTCTGGACTAGAACCCCGGACGTCGATCAATCACGACATGGATCAACCGGCATTACTGCTTGTACTCCCGTGTTGACGACGACATTCTGTGACCTATGCGATCAAGTCATCTTGAGAAACTTGCAGACGCGCCTTGGCCGCTCGTTTGTCACCAGCAGGAAAGGAGTACATGCGGGTGCGTGAGCCTTCGACGCTACGAATTTCGTTTATCCTTCATCTGCCGCAGAATCTGTTGTAGCCAACGAGAGCATTGATGAGGACCGTTGACGTCCTATACCAAGATCAGTTTGATACATCTTACTTTCAAGCCCACCTTTGCGAAACGTAACTTGGTGAAGCCAAGACAAAGAACATGTTCAATTCCCTTCCTATGCCCAAACATCACAAGACCTTTTGACCGGCCTGGGTATCATCAACAGGATAACGGGTCCCGGCTGTCTGCGTCGTAGTTTTGCCTTCATCGTTTGGCGATTCCCGTCGGGCAGAATGGGCGAAGACTGGTGGTGGCGAGTCGGAGGGTCCCGCTCCATGGATCTTGACCGCGATTTGGCAGGATATCCATCATCTCCACCCCTGGATGCATCAAGCAACAGGGATCTTCCGGCGTTGTGGCAGAGTGGTCTAATGCGCAAGACTAGAAATCTTGTTCCTTCGGGAGCGTCTGTTCGAATCAGGCCAACGTCGAATTGTTTTTTGCGGCTTCGAAGAGCGACAAAATTCGTCATTGAATTACTTTTGCTGGTGAGTTCTTGATTGCAATCTTCCATAAAGTACTAAGATTATAAACTTATAGACGGTGAACGATCAGAGGTGAGCGCCTCCCGCCTCTGGGAATAAAAACTCGTGTTTCTCTTTGAAAGATACTCTTCGGCAATGGGCGGAGGCAGCATGTTTGCTGGAAACCCGCCTTTCGTCGTGACTCCAGTAAAATTGGTCGGTTAACTTACAAAATACTCATTCCTCCGGTAAAACATGTTCTATCGAGCCGTTGTACTAGTGACAGCATTTACTAGCTAGTAGTACAATTCACTAAGACATGGCTTGGCTCCAAGTCAGGGGTGGTGATTGTGGATTCCTGAGCCTACCACAACATGGCAACCTGCCCACACAATGTCTCTCAAATACGGACAAACGAAGATTTAAGCCCGCAGTATCCCTACTAGCTTGATTCGCGAATCTGGTTTCGAGATCAAAGTTTCCTTAGCGCGTGCTTCAGCTCGTTGCATTGGACCACGATGGTATCAGCCGTGGCCTTCGCAGCATTCATCATAGGTCTTCAGTTCGCGCATGCTACCAACGACGGTGTGTATGTAGGTACGTGCAGTCCAGGCTTAAGGGGATTCTTGGCCAGCAAACGTATATTAACAACTTTGCTTCCACAAAGACGATGGGCTCAAGCAGCACTCCGGTAATGGCTTCCACTCAAGCCAATTGCCGATGCTCAAACGTCAAGCTACGGCTCGTGTCGAGTCTCCTGTGCCCGTCTTGCAATTCGTTTTGACCATCATGGACTTCACGAGCTCCTCTTCTCCAACCACAGGATCAGGGATGACCTCAACGATGGTTTCGAGCAGCAATGCCGCCACTGTATGAAATTCATTCTCATCGCCAACTTATTCAGCTCCTACTAATCATCCATCTCAGGAAACCGGCGTATCCACTGCCTCTTCTCCGGTTCCCCCGTCAGGCGTCGACTCTCCTACGTCCGCGCCACCAACAGTCGTGTCTTCTGAAGTGGCTATTTCAACAACAAGCAACTCGGTCCAGTTATCATTTCAGACATTTAACGCCAACTCACAGACTCCTGTGGCATTGATATCTTCGGCGCAGGCCTCATCTGATCCAGACATACCATTCCCGGTCGCAACGAGCTCCAGACTATCAAATCCTCTGTTCACCAACACCTCGATGGTTGCTTCTACAATAAGCACAGACTCACAAACAAATGCTCAGCCTCAAAGCTTCACGACAGCTTCCACGTTCGGTGTTGGATCCCTGAGCTTGAGTGCACCCCTTACTGCGTCATCATCTGCTCAAACGACAATGACTAGTTCGGCAGCAGTCTCAGCTGGCTCTGCGTTCGGGATTTCATCAATTACTAGCCTTACACAAAGCACGGAGACAGTCAATGGTACCGGAAGTAGTAGTGACATTATTGCAGGGACGGGCAACTCTGATGCCTCTTCAAGAACATCGTCAACGGTAAGGTCGTCAAGCGAGGTACCCATAGCAAGTCCAACATCACTTTCCACAGCAAGTCCATCAACATATTCCGCCACGGGATCTTCCCAGACCGCTTCGTCAGCTGTAAGCTCGACGAGCGAAGCGAATGCGGGCACGAGTAGTGGTGCTTCCGGCTCTTCTTCAACTCCCACCAGCGCCAACGACTTTCTGTCTACAATCAGTACCCAGAGTGCGCCGTCCCTCAGCTCTGACGGCACAACAGCCAGCACCAGTACTGCTTCGTCCATGACGACTATCAGTGTCGTCTCGTCCACGACAAGCACTCAAAGTACATCCATCAGCACTAGCGGCATGTCGAGCAGCTCTGGAATCAGCACCACATCAACCCAGCTAAGTATTTTAACCTCTAGTTCCACCACCAGTATGTCCTTCTACCCAGGTAATTAGCCATTGTGTATTTCTAAGAAGTCCTAACACTTGCAACTCAAGCTTCTTCCCCTTCGTCAACTCCGATATTCGCTCGGAACGTCTGCCTCAAGGTGACAGTTCCAGGAATCCTACAGGGTGCCAAATTAACTCTTGGACCGAATCGCTTTAATCTCAAAAACAAGGATGACGCCACACCAGCTGCATTGTTCGACATCAACCTCACCTCCGGCCAGGTCTTTCAGAGTAACGGCGAAACAGTCGCTATATCTGCACCTTTCGAAGCCGATACGCGGCCTCTGAACGGGTTTACACCATCTCAAGTTCTCCGACTTTCATTAGCTCCTCTGATTTGCCAAACAAATCCTCCCACCCTCGTTATTGGTGAAACGCTTACCTGTTCAGCAACCGGCAACGATGGACAGAATGCCAACACATACACCAGGTTCTTCTACAACAGTAATGATAGCGAAGGGATTATTCGAATGGCGACCGCTAGCCGTGTTTTTAACCGCGTGAACACTGAGCTCCAACTGGCACCATACTCTGGCTCTGATTGTAATTGATTGCCGATTGAGTTGGGATTCCCGGATGGGAGAGTGAACAGTGAAGGCTTGCGGTTCACATAGTCACCTGCCTGTTTTTCAAATCAAATACATCTTGATACCTCAGGGTTCCAGCGTTCCCTACCGGAGTCTAGGTCTCAGTGATATTTGTACACTTCTGTTGTCTGATGTCCGGATCTTCTACACAGCATATGGCACTGTGCCACTGGGTTCAAAGGTTCATCATGGCAAATGTGTGTTGCCGAAAAGGTGCAACATACACTAATATAGATCATGAATTTTGAAGATCCCCAATTTAGACAGAATTGAGGAAAGAAAACAGGCTGGTATAAATCCAGCTTGAGACGACAAGTAGCACTCACCCCTTTCTGAGATCTCCGAAAGGCTCAACATTTCAGGGCCTATCCCGACGGAGCCCAGCAGCCAGAACAACGCCAGAGAGATCACTGATGTCCAGTCTCGTAAGTCAGATTCGCCGTATCAGATAGATGAGAGCAGCACTGAGAATCGAGCAGTTCCCGCCCGCGAGTACGCCGTCGAGGAGTCTGTCGGCACTACCATCCACTTCGACGACAACACCGGTAAGCTCAACCCTCTCCTTTTACACAGCAACGCCGCTAACACATCTGAAAGCCGTTGAGAAGCGCGACTCCGAGCTTGAGACCCGCGGCCTCACCCCCAACGCGCGCTTCAGCGCCAACTTCTACCCCAAGTTCCACACCGCCGCGCGCCCCTTTGCCCAGGCCATCACCATCGCTGGGCACGCCTACATCATGCAGGCCTGGGTTGACCTCCAGAATCGCATCAACATCATGGTCGATGCTGCTTTCCCAGGTATGCCCCCGTTCTAAATAGCTCGATTATGAACAGTTAAATAACCGTATGCCAGGTGTTCCTGCGCCCACTGCTGGCGTTTCGAACAAGCACGCAGCCTTTGCGGTCCTCCCTCACTTGTGGACGCTTGGAACGACTTACTTCGCCCAGGACACCGGCGGCGAGTTTGAGCCCGGCGATGCCTGGGCTTTCTTCTGGTACCCTTAAGCTGGTCGTACCTGCTGTGTGTGGATACCTGGAGGCAGCAGCTTAACATCCTCAGGTATCCGTAGCAACTTACACGATGGGTACGATGCACCTCAACACAAGATACCTTGGTCACATCTTGGGGCTCGTACATGTAAATGAGGGCTCTTGATAGGTAGTTTAGATTGATTCAAGAAAGCCGCTTGGGACAAGCATAGCTGTTGCACCTCACATATGGCAGCCTTACAAGTGACATCCAAAAGTGCAAAAGTAAAATGATATTTTACAGTCATAGTTCAGGCCTTCTCTGTGTAATAGCCAATGAATTCATCACGGAAACTTCTAAAGATCCATTTATCGAGGGGAAAGATATCACAGCCACATTCACAAGGCTGGAAAGTACGTCAAGCAGCGGTCAACTTACTAATAATAGTTCACAGTTTGAACCTACGATCTGGATCATGGACTGCAGGTCACATTGCGCGTACAACGAAAAGGCATCTAATGAGGCGATGACTAGCATCTTGGCGCGTTGCGTGGACTGGCGGGGGAGATCTGCAGACCTGCGGCACCACGATTGACGAATCTCACGACGCTTTTTGGGACTCGCAGAAGTTTCCACGCTTCTCTCAATCTCCACCAGATGACAAGATAAAAAACAAAATGTCGCAGCTTCTTCATTGCCTGCCGAAAGTCAATTCGCTGAGTGTTATTTGCAGTGGAATCCACATGTTGGTGCGAATTTCAGCGTGCCAAGACATAAAATGCATGCTGAAGGTCCTAAATTTAGCATCCGCACCTGCTGTCAAGCTTCACATCCCCAGTCCAGCTGAGGAGAGAGGCACAACAAAAAGGTCCGCCTGCCCGCCCCGCTGCGACGCTGTCTCCAGCCTCCCTAGGCTGTGGGTGATTTGGGGAGGGGCAACAGGAGAATCCAGTCAATTGCAACGCCTGGAAAGAACTCTCTCTACGCTGCAACAAGCCGGTGCGTTGATTTGCCAAAAGCCCCCGGGGGCAGGACGCGGTGTCGATCATCCGTTGGCCGGCGTCATCCGGTGGCACACGGTACAACCCCCGTTCCACAGGGAAGCACCCTACCCAAGTTTTCCGCAGCACAGCGAACGAGAGTCCAGAGAATGCTGGGGCTTGCTCCATCTCCGCGGCCATGCGCCAAGAGGACAGTGTGAAACATGGACAGCTCACAATTGAATCTTTTTCCCGGGCGGTGCGTGGCGGACACTGAGGCCGCTGTGAGATTGGGCCACAGCGAGAGAGATGCGTGTCCGCCGTGGCTCTGCTGGTCTTGGCGGGGATATGCCGGCGGCGAGTGGTTGTCGTCTCAAGTGATGGGCCGAACCTAAGTTTTTTGGGTTGGATGACAGGCGCAAAACATGTTTCTTCATGAAGGGTTACTGGAGCTGCTGGCTTCTGGTGATGGCGATGCGATTGTCGCGGACGCGTGTTCCTGCATCTGGGCAATTGCCGTCTACCACATAACAGCGAGGAAGGATTCTATTTTTTGACCATATTGTATCGTTGTAATAGAGAGTATGTAAAATGTCTTGGCGCCTCCTGTCAGCCCTCCGGGGTCCTGTCCGGCACCCAGCCGGCATTACCCAGCCATGAGCGCTCAGGTTCCGGTCATCTCCGCGAAAACAATGCTGCCGACTGTGGCACGCGACACATTCCCTCTTTGGGCCTCCGCAGAGTGCTGCGCTGTAAAGACGGGTGCCGCACTGTAGAAGACAGTATGCGTTCTCTACATACCGATCACTCTGTGTCAGTATGTCCATCGCTGCCGCAAGGGGACAGCAGGGGGTCCAGTGTATCGCATTAAGCTTTCCTGGGGATTCGGGGCTCTCGGGTGGGCAACAACAAGCTTGAAAAGAAACGCGAAATTCGGGGCATCCGCAACATGGCCCAGCAAGGTTGACGGGAACACATAGGTAGTGTTTATCTTAGGTAATTGTACTCTTTACTGAATATTAACACTCTTTACAGTGGGTTTCACTTTCACGCAGCGAGAACTATCGGTACAACAGAATCATTACCTAGTATACCACAGCCGGGATGCTGAGTCGTCGATTGAGGCTGGGGCATCTGTGAGCGTTTCTTGGCTTTGCTCATCGGAACTCCACTTTTGAATAGCTGCAATTTTGAGTGGGAGGGCGCTGGATGGGCCAAGATGGAGACCGTCGACGCCAAGAAACCAACCAAGACCCAAGCCTCCAAGTGACGATGAGCGGCGGTCGCTGCCCGAGACATTGCTCTGCCGCCTGTGTTGTTTGATTTTCTTCTTTCCCCCCTGTGTTTGTGTTTCGAGAAGGCTTCCTAGGAGAATTTGGATAAGGTTATATATCAAGCATCATCCCGCCCCTTGCTGGCTGATATTTTCTCATCATCATCAATCTCATAGTCTCAAGCAAGCCTCACTTACACACACCCGCACACCAAAGGTCTCATTCAGCACCACCAACAAAAAACACCGCCAACATGCACTTCTCCCACGTCGCTCTCTCCCTCGTCGCCGCCGCCTTCGTCCAGGCCGACCTCCAGCTCGACAGCGACGACATCCCCAGCCAGTGCCGCGCCGTCTGCAACCCCATCTACGAGCTCGGCCGCACCTGCGAGGTTGACGACGACCAGGTCACCGACGACCTGACCGAGAACCGCCTCGAGGCGCAGTGCGTCTGCACCAACTCCAGCATCAACGTCTCGTCCTACGCCGCCCTCTGTGCGAGCTGCATGGACCAGAACGTCACCGACCGCGACGACCTCGATGGTAAGTTACTTCTGTCTTTGAACGTTAGAGAGTGGCTGCTCACACGAACGCCACAGACATCAACGACATCCTGAGGACCTGCGGCTTCGCCAGCACGACGTACACCTCAACCGCGTCCTACGCTTCAACCACTCCCTCCGTCACGGCCACCCGGCCCACTGCTTCTTCGCAGCTGACTACCACCATCACGCCCGGCGCCGCCGGCGGCAGTGGATCCTCTCCCACATCGTCCGGCGGCGGCAGCGGCAGCGGAAACAGCAACAGCAACCCCACCACCACTAACGGCGGTTCCAGCAGCGCCACGCAGACCCCGAACGCCGCGGGCGTTGTCTCACCCAAGGGCCTGGGTCTGATTGGTGCCGCTGCCGTTGGCGCCCTGTTCTTGTAAATGGGGGGTTTCTCATGAGTAACTTGGTTTTCACGATGATATCTATTTGAAAGATTCTTTCTTTTTCCTGGGGGTTTAAGGTTGTGGCGCGATGATGATACCTCAGCACTTACTGTCGCTTCTGATGATTCTACATGGGGTCAGTGATTCACCGGGTGTTGTACTCCGGCTTACTGAGGAATAATAACGAAATTTTGAATCATTTCTTGAGTGTGTATCGGGTGAATAGATGTCTCTCTCGTGTGGTTTATCATCCGAGGTCTCGGTGCGGTCTTGGGCTGAGTCAATGCCGACATTTGATCCATCAATCATTCACCGAGCGGCAACCTTATGATCGATGTCTCGGTCCTCCTGCAGTGAATCGCGAATAGATCTAGAAAACAAAGAGTATATAAAAGAGGTCGTCATTTAGCAGTCGACCAAGTCATTCTCCATGTCGATAACGCCCAACTACAAACCACCACCTACAAAGCTCGTCAACTTTCTTTCTCTCATGCGCCCCAACCCCAGCGCCAATTTACTCCGTTCGCGAACACTCTCAGGCCGCGAAATCAACGACATGAAGTCTCAAGTAGGCACTACGCCCAAGCTTTGCGGCTGCTTCTGCGGGTGCACGGCCAAGGTCTTCTTTGGCGAGGATAAATGCAATGGGTGCGCCAGGGGATTCCACGACGATGGGAAAACGCCGCCTGGTGTACCGAAGGTTGAAAAATAAGGGCCACGAGGACGTCGAGGATAGTCGTTAGTTGTCACAAACACACTTCTGCAGCGTACAAGCATCGATCGTAACCCGCATTCCTCACATTCTTGGACGGTGACACCGCGGGATGAGACAAGTCAGATGCCAAAGTGAAGTTTTGTTCTATTTAAAAGTATAATGTTCGAAAAGTGGTATCTCTGCAAACACAAACTACAAATGAAAAACAGTAACAGTCCAACAAACGTCTCATTCGACCTCCCTCCATCTCTTCTCCAGCTTTTCAATAACAAGCGCCTTCGACCCAGAAACCAACCCAGCCGCAAGCGACGCAGGCTGCTGACCCGCACTCGAAAACACCCCCTTGATCGAGATATCGTGCACACTACCCGTCGGCGAGCCAGCAACATTCGACAACCGCCGTCTCCCGAGCGCCATCTGCGCCTCGTCGATTGCCTCCCGGATCACAGGCACCGTCTCGACATACACCTCCCTTCTCTTCCTCGACACCTTCAACAACTCCGCAGGATCCCCCTTGGCACACGCCTCCACGTAAAGCGCGCGCATGCGCGGCGAGTACATCTCGCACATCAAACTCACCGGCGCGGTCTCCCCCTTCAGCTGCATGCGCGGCGCAAGCGCGGTCCCGCGCGCGAACTCGTGGTAGCACGCCGGGCAGATGGTGCAGTCCTTCCAGCCGTACCAGCGCCGGTTCTGGGCGTCCTCGTCGCGCGGGCAGAGCGGCAGGCTTGCGAACTCGAGGGCGTACGTCTCGAGCGGGCGCGTGTCGGCGATGAAGAAGCCTTCGAGGAGTTTGGCGAGGTAGGCGGCGAAGCGCGGGGAGGCGTCCGGGTTGAGGGCGCAGAGGTGCGTCGTGCCCGGAGCGACGCCGCACGTGGGCACGAGGGAGGCGGCGAGGCCGAGGGGCTCCGCGACAGTGGCCACGCACGCGGCGCAGATGGAGAAGGACGGCGGGTGCGAGGGGAAGGTGTACCATGTCCCGTCACGGATGCCGGCCGGGGAGCAGAAGTCGGCGTGGACGGCGGTGTCGAGTGCTTTCCAGAAGATGGCGAAGTCGCGGGTCTCCTGGGCGCGGGACATGGCGATGCCGATGTTGAAGTGGCCGAGGGTGCAGTGGACCATGCTGCCGTAGCGGGAGGCGAGGTTGTCGCCGGCGGGCCGCCAGCGGTGCTCCTCGCCGGAGAGCAGGACGTGGTCGTGGTAGCAGGCGGCGCAGATGAGGACGCCCTTCATGTTGCCGGTGGAGGGGGTGAACCACTCGCGGGAGCCGACGGCGACCTTCTGGCGCTTGGCACAGGGGGTGATGGCCATGCGGGACGCGGCGGCGGTGGTGAAGCCCTTCCAGTCGTGGGCGTCTGCGGCCTTGGTCTTGTAGATGTTGCGGATGTAGGGGATGGCGAGGTCGCAGGCCCAGACGTCGGAGGCGGGCTGCGGCGAGGCGGGTTCGAAGTTTGCGGCGCAGCGGAAGGGCTGGATGTGGTCCTCGTAGCAGGCGCGGCAGACAACCATGTTGGGCACGGCGTTGTTCTTGGGGCGGAGCCACTTGGTGCCCTCGGAGCCGGGGACGCCGGCGGTGCCGCGGCAGTCGGGGACGGCGCTGCGGAGGCGGAGGTGGGCGGTGAGGTCGTCGATGCGGCCGGTGATGAGGGCCTGCTGGAGGAGGTGGTCCTTGACGCGGGGCTTGCTGAAGCGGCACGCGCGGGGCTTGTTGTCCTCGCAGAGCTTGCCGCGGAAGTCGTTCTCGAAGCGGGTGCCGAGCAGGTGGTCTTCGTAGCAGCGGGAGCAGATGGGGAAGTCGGGAGCGGCCGGGTGGGTATACCAAGTGGAGGGGAAGGTGACGGGGGTGTCGATGCAGGCGACGACGCCGCGGCCGCGCTTCCGGCTTGGGGGAGTGGCTCTGCGGGAGTTTGCGCGGGGACGGGTTGGCGAGGTGAGCGGTTCCTGGGGAGGGAGTGCGCGGGGAGTGAGGACGACTGGTTCCGGGGTTGGGTTGGTTGAGGGAGGGGTGAAGCAGGACGTGGTGCTGGCGGTGAAGTCGGGGGTGGAAACCTCCTCTCGGGGGGTGGACGGGACGGAGTAGATGGTGGAGAGCATGGGCGAGGGTGCGAAGCGGAGGTTTTGGAGGGTTTCTTCGAGGTTGTCGATATCGAAGTGGCCTGGACGCAGCTCTGTCTGGGACACGGTGGTCTGGCTCTTGGTCTTTGATGTGGTTGAGGTGGCAGAGGCGGAAGTAGACTTCTTCAGCTGGCTAGACGGGGCCGATGCAACGGCGCCCTTGGGAAAGTAGCTTGGTTCATCGGTCTGCGGCGGCGTCGGAGGCGGCGGAGGGAAGCTCGTCAACGCGTTCGGCCCCGGGCTGCGGAGGTTCGAGCGGTTGCCGTTGTTTCCTGCAGAAGACGTGTTCACCAATCCTCGCGGTGCTGGTGAGCCTCCTTTAGCGGAGGCCGGTGCCGGGCTCGGTGGTGGCGGAAAGCTGGTGTATCCGGGCGGGCTCGGGCGGTCGGTCCACTGTGGTGCCGGCGCCTGCAGCAGGCTCTTTGCAGGGCGGACGGGCTTCGGCGCGGCGAAGGTCGGCTCCGAGGGCGGGGCCTTCTTGTCGGCGCCCTTCGACGGGTGGGGCCGTGAGCTCCGGGTGGAGGACATGTTGCAGTGCAGCGCGGCTCAGACTCGCAGCAGTCGCAGATTCAGGTCGAGTAACACTTTGATTCCCTTCGCAACCCCACAACGGACTTCTTCTTTGGGAGCTGCAGAGTGACGATGGCTTCAAACACTTCTTCTTTTTCTGGATGGGTGGGTGGTGGTGCAGTGTGGGACGAGGTGAATGAAGACGGTAAGGACAGGCCGTTTAATCAATCAACAACAATAAAAGAAAACCGCCGGAAAAAATGCAATCCAATGCCAACACAACAACAAAGCAAGGAAAGGTCTTGCGGGAGTGCATGCAACCTCTATCCGCATCCGGGACGTCGGTCATGTTTAAAGGCAGGACGTCAATCCCCAAGGGATGCGCAGAAAGGCGAGCAGACTGGCCTCGAGCTGGCTTAATTGGTGCCCGATGGGCGGAATGCCGGGTCATCCGTGGAGACGATCCACACCACTTTACGCCCGACTTGCAGCGATCAGCCTGGAACCGGTGGCGGGCCGCGGGAAGGGAAGAGGGCAGCACGAACTTGATGGTCCTTTGCAGAGATGTTCCCTGGATGCGACGACACGAGTAAACGATGCACCCCCGTCCGTCCAGCTTCTCTCATTTCCCGTGGGAAAAAAGACCTGCTTGTTTCTCTTGGTTATGCCCGGCAGATGATGTTTTCCTTCTGGAAGGTTGTACCGTGTTTTGCGCGCCGCCCGCGTTGGCATGTTTCTTCCTTTCCTGCAGCCTGCCGTGGCCTGCGTCGGGGAATTCTTTTCTGCCCTCCGCTGCTGGCCTGGGCTTTTTTTTTTTCTCCTTCTCTCCCAATTGACAAGGGCTCTGGCCTTGGAATGCAATGCCAAATGAGCAGCGAACGGCTGCTTTGGGCTTTGACGGTTTGATTATCGGGCGCCAATACGGAAGGTGATGTTGTTGTTTTTCCTTGTTTTTTTCCTTCCCGTGTTCTAGCCTTGAGCAGGGCCAAATTTTGTCAAATTTCTCTCTCTCTTAGCTCGAACAGACACAGGCAGACAGCCCCGAGAACGCGGGAATCCCGCCACCAGGACTCAGGACAGCTCCAGGAACGTGTGGCAGGTTGGGCTCCTCATCTCTTTCGCGCACTTCGTTCGCAGGGACACCGTTGGGACGAAAAGTTGAGATGAACGTTCCCACTCACTGAGTCGTAAACTCGACGCGCTGGCCTGGTTTGACCATCTTTTCTTAGCCACAAACATAAACACCCACGCCGCAGCGTATCCGTAATTCCCTACCTCCCTCACTTAAAGAGCACTTGCACCCCAAAAACCTGCTCCTCCCATACCGAATCAATTGTTTGGTTCCTTGGTCGCCGCTCCTTTCTCACCTTACCCTGCCGCAGCCTGGATCAAGTGACTCGGCCAACCAATATCTGTGAGGCTCTTGCTTGCAACGCCACCCTTTCCAGCGCCCAGTGTGCGTTGCGTTGCGTTGCGTACGCGGTGGGCGCGGGATCTGTGTGCGACGTGTAGCGCTGCAGCCGTTGGTGGGAAGGCGGAAGCGATCGAAGCGCATCATTCACACTCACGCTTCCTCTCACTCACGTGCACACAGACACAGCAATCGCACAGTTGCAAGCCAAGGAGAACAGATGTTCGAGCTACTGGGGCCTGGACCGGATGCAGAGCAAGGCCCATCCCGTGCGATGACGGGAAAGGGAAATGGACTCGCCAATTCTTCGGGGGTCTGCATCCGTAAGAAGATTCTCCGCAAAGAAGGCCAGGATGAAGGGGGAGCAGATGGCAAAACCTCCGGCGCCAACAAACCCCCAAACCCTCGCCTGCGCGAAAGGGCGATTCCTTCGCGTCGCGCTCCAGCGTCACTTTCACTTCCTCGGGGGCGTCCCCCAAATCCAATGGCTGGGTGGCTTGCCGCACATGCGCCGTCGTTGTGTTGACTGCAACGGGCTGCTGCTCTAGTTCCTCAACCCTTGCGCTAAGACCCTTTTTTCGTCAGCGGGAGATGGGGCCTTTCTTATCGTGGAAAACATCCCGCCGAGCGTATCGTTCCAGGGGGAGTCTGCCTCTTCGGTAGCGAATTCGTTGGTTGGGTGGTTTTCGTTTGGTCGAGTGACATCGCATCTCCTCAGGTGAGCCGCGCTTGTTCAAGCCCAGATCTGTCTTGTCAGTTGAGGAGGGCGGGAAGAAATGGCAAAGAGACAATCAGATCTTCCATGTCTTGGGTCATCAGTGTCGATCACCGTTGAACATCAATTGGAGAAAGAAACATCCAACCAACTGTCTTTTTTTACTCCAACCGCTCCATCCTGAACAACAGCACAGCAAAACCAATCGAAGGATCCTCCACCCAGAGTTTCCCCTTCAGGCTTCCAAGAGTCGCATTGCTGATATGATCCCTGCGGAACCCCCCAACGCCGTTCCATGGTGCCGATTGCTTGGACGTGCCAAAGCGGCTTAGTCCGTCACATCATCCCCCAGGCGCGGGAAATTATCACAACAGGGGCACCACCACTTTCAGCGCTCTACGAGTCTTAAAACCCTCTGTTATGACACAAGAAGGGCCCCAGGGGACGAGGGGGGAGACGGCCACGCCAGGAAGAGAGTTCCGAACGAAGAAGGGATCATGGGTTGCGATTGAAACTCTCTCTCAGTGCTCCCTCTCTGTCCGAGTCGCTGTCCACTCTTTTCGTTTGCTTTACTGTGCTGCCTCCCACACCCCGCAATCCCATCCATTCATTCATTCCCCTTCCATTCGTTCACTCCTTCAGTCGTTCGTTTCCCATCACCGGCGTCACTCGTTTCGCTCCGGGGACTGGTTTTCTGAACGTTGACCGGGACAGCAGACTGTTGGTTTGTAAAGGAATCGCGGCAGAGTCCCAGCGAACGCGCGCAATCGCATTGCTGCGCCTGGCCCCAAACACCATCCATCCATCTGCCTCCCGCCCCCAAATTACGATTTCGCAAATACGATCGGCACTCGCTTGGTAGCACCGCGAACAACCACGTCGCACTCACACAACACACGCTCGCTCATTTCTCACAAAACAAACTGTTTTACACGCTCTGGTTAGGCATCAACGAAGAGACAGAGGCTTAACGAAGAAAGGAAGGAGGGATTGCTTTCCGTGTATCCCGGGAGGACCGAGATGATGGTGGCGCTGGAACGTTTGGCATAGCGAAAGAAGAAACCCAAGATTTCCCAGCCAGCTGGGACGCCAGCAAACACACGCCCAAAAAGAGTTTGAAGGATTTGACGATTGCTGCCCAAGTGCTGGAACAGAATCAACCAACAAAAGAAAAGATGAACGGGTTCAATTTCCCTCCGCCGCCCGACGAGCCCGTCCCCGTCGTCCCCCGCGACATCAAGGCCAAGCGCATCGTCCCGTCGCCCCGCAAGGCGCCCACCGTCCGGAGCGGCAAGGGCTCCATCTTCGGCAAGGCCTCGATCCCCTCCGTGTACTGGGCCGGCGACGACCCGACGCCGGGAGGCGACAACGAGGAGTACACCTTCTACCGCGAGGGCACCCCGCCGCCGAGCGAGAAGGGCGGTGGTGGCCGCCAGCGCGGGCTGAGCCTGTACGACCAGGAGAGGCGGGCGGCGCGCGGGCAGGATAGGAGAAGCCGCAAGTGCTGCGGGCTGAGGATGTGGGTTTTCTGGCTGCTTGTGTGCCTGATTATCCTCGTGGTGCTCGGTGTGGGTGTTGGAGTCGGTGTTGGCGTGGGGTTGGGGGCGTCGAAGGCTAATCAGTCGGATGAAAGCGCGGCGCGGACGAGGTATGATCTTTCCGGATGAATGATGAAGATGAATGTACTGACTGTGTATTAGTTCCGCGACACCTACACCAACGACTGGCGTTGCCGCCGCGTCCCCGACGACACCTCTGTCTAGCCCAACAGCATCATCTCCATCAGCCGCGTCAAGCGTATCAACGACGCCCGCCACTTCAACCAAGACGTCCTCCACGACATCGTCATCACCAACCGCAACCTCCGGCCCCAACGCCCTCTGCCCCGATGCCGCCAACACGTTCTACAGCCCCGTCGGCTCGGACAAGCGGTTCCTGCGGGTCTGCGGCGTCGACTACTCGGGCGACAACGAGGCCATCGACATGTCCAACATGCTGGCCAGCAGCATGGGCGAGTGCATGGACATCTGCTCCAAGACGGCGCAGTGCACCGGCGCCGGCTGGGGGAACGTCACGACGGGCGAGGGCACGACGGAGCTGAGGTGTTGGTTGAAGCGGAATTTGCAGAGTTCGCACAGCGCGAAGGAAGGGTGGAATTTTGCCATCTTGCAGTGAGGGCGGAAGAGGTGTTCTTGTAGATATTTGGAAATAATGATAATGTGTTGGCCTTGTCAGGCTGACTTTGATACCATCACTAAACATCACACTTTCGTTGGCGATGTAAACGGGACAACAGTTAATCAGAAACAAGTAGGTGTATTAAGACTGTGTGACCTATTCATAACGCCAGTGCTGGTATAATGTCGCCCATGCCCATTTCCATCATGTATCCATACCTAGCCCTCAATCTCGCCTCTTAGTTGATAGCAGCAACAACAAAGCCAGCCACCGCAGCAGCAGCCATAACAGCTCCCGTCTCCCTCGGACCGGCCGCATTACCAGACCGTCCGCCTCCATTTCCATTACCATTACCAAGTCCGCCTCCACTGCCGCCGCCAGGGTTGACCGGCCCGGCGCTGGTAATCTCCGCAACAAGCGAGCTGCACTGGCCCGTCCCCAGCGGCAACACGGTCGCGACGCCCTGGACGTCGCTGCAGGCCTGCCAGACGGCGCGGAAGTCGCTCATGTGCGCGTCCTTCCACGAGGTGAAGGACTTGGCGTAGGTCGAGTAGGCGGAACCGATGGAGCCCGTGATGGTCGGATCGGAACAGGGGTCCGTCACGGAGGCCGACAAGGCGAGGTAGTTGGCGACGTCGACGGGAAGGGTGGGGGCCGCGTCGGTGATGCGCGGGAGGACGGCCGTGGCGACGGAGTTGCAGGAGGCCAGGTCGCGGCGGACGGGGGAGCCGATGTGCTCGGCGTTGGGGGCGGTCATGATCTCCAGCGAGGCGGCTGACGCGCCCGCGGCGGCGAAGAGGAATGAGTAGCGCATTGTGGGTGTTTGGAGAGGGGGGAGATTGAGTATGATGTGGTGTGGTTTGGCTTGTGTGAGATGAGGATCTCTTGTATTGATGGAGGAGCGGAGATGATGACAGGGGCAGTCGGACAGGTCGAGGCTGGCTTATTATGTCCCGGGCGGGTGTCCTGCGCAAGCACGGGTGAAGGCGTTGATGACGACGGTTCGCTCGATGATGGAGGAGTGCGTCCTCAGTGCGGCGAGGTCTGAGAGTGCAGAATGCAGCATGCACCCGTGATGTTGGGACCTCGGGAGTTTTCTCACCATCCTATGTCGAGGCGAGAAACATGGGTGCCAAACAAGCTCGTGGGCTTACATCGTGGGGCGAGCTCCATGTTTCTCGTTTGTCTTCCCCCGGCTTGCCGCCCCCTGGCTTCGCTTAATGTGGCTGCCTAAGAAGCCCGCATGATGATGTTCCAGATGGTGAAGAGAATCATACTGCTATTCCTCTTGAATTGTTCATGGCGGTGGCTCAACAGCGGTTGGCATCGTTTCAAAACCACCTCACTCAAATCACCCGCAGAGCTAGTCGAGATCTCACGGGAGAGCGCCCCGTTGGCTCAGCCACCGCTATGCCGAGAGCGTGATGATGGGGGTACTAGCGGCAAAGGCTAAGAGAGCAAACTGACTGACTGAGCCTGTTCATTGGGCTCCCGCAAATGTCTTGCGTTAGGGGGAAAGGGGTTCAGACACTCCCGCATGTCAACGGGCCAAGGACAGCTCAAATGGCAGCAATCCGAGCCCTGTAGGAGCGGCTTGACAGGCCCTCTCATGGCGTTGGGCTACCGATCATTGGCAGATCCAGGACATCGTTGGCGAATGTCTGTGGCCGCGGACCTTTCCTTTTGACGATGCATGCATGAGGGTCTTTGATGGCGGTCGATGTGTCAAATGTTTCGATAGGACCGTCAGCTCGGGAAGAGGAAACCCATTCTTCTTCTTTTGCGTCTTTCGTCATCATCCCTGCAAGAGAAGGGGACTCGCGATGAACCCAACCGCGCCTTGCGCCGCACTCGCATTGTTGAGCGAAGCACATGCTTCCATGTCGCCCAACTCAAAACCGCCTTCTCATCCGATGTTCGGCTTAAATGTGCAATGCCCTTTCCATTTCTTTCCTGGTATCTTGAAAGTTTTTGCACCCGAAATCGCTTTTCATCATACGTCATTCTTGCTGCCCCCCATCCAAACAACCCGTGCCCCCATGTCAAAGTCCGTCCGACGCACCAAGCTCGTCCAGCTCTTTCGACCGCCGTTCCCTGTCCGCCACCGAGTGTCGCGCGTACGACTCAAACAGCCCCATGAAGGGGATGATCAGCAGGAAGATGGGCACCAGCTGGCTGAACATCAGGCTGTTCTCCTCGTCCTTCTCGTCCTGCTCCATCTCCGAGTGCCCGATACGCCGGTCGTCGACCACGGCCTGGATCCCGAAGCTGAAGTACGCCATCAACCCGACGATGGTCTCGACCTCGGACGCGAAGAAGTACCACACCCCGCGGAACGCCGCCTTGCACCACCGCCACGCCGTGTTCTCCGTCCATCGCACGGCAAATACCGCCTCGGGCTGCAGCACGTTGAATTGCTGGGTCTGTTTGTCGATGAGTCGGCTCCGCACGTGGTCCATCCAGAATATCCGCCCCGTGCGCGAGCTCATGAAGATCCTGACGCCGTAGAAGTACCCCATCATCACCATGTTGACGATCATGAGGCTGGCCGGGTCGCCGCCCTTGGGTAGCCCGAGCGAGCACTTCATGGGACAGCGGAACTGGCCGGGCTCGTATATCTCGGCGTACCCGCCGACGTACAGCGCGTAGAGCAGCAGCACGACCGTGGTCGCCATGAAGAAGATCCGTAACGCCCTTGCCATCCGCCGCGGCAGGACCATGTTCTGCTCGTTGTAGCGCTCCGGGTGCGTGCGCTTGACGCTGTCGCGCATGCTCGTGATGACGAGCAGCGAGAAGAGGTGCGTGTTCGAGCAGAACCACGCGAGGTCGGTGACGATCATGAAGTGGTACGTGGATATCGTCCCCTCGAAGAGCTGCTTCATCCCCGCGACGAGGATGGCCATGCCGGTGACGAGCTGCAGGTCGCTCAGCGTGTTGACGAGATCGTACGCGACGAGGGCTTGCAGGTCGGGGTTCATGTGTAGCCGGTGCATGAGATTTCGCGCGGGGGCGGAGACGTGTTTTCGGAAGAAGCGGTCGAGCGGGTTCATGGTCTGGCGCTCCTCGTTCGTGCGGCCTATTACGAGGCAGAATATTGTTGTGAGGAGGGTCACGAAGGCTGTGAAGACGAAGGCGAAGATGACCTGGTGCGCGATGGGGGTTAGTGGAGAAAAGATAATTGTAAAGGAGTTGATGGCTTACACCCCGACCGGCGATGTCTGGCTCAGCAGTCATCCGCGGACAACTGCAGAAGCCAAAGTAGCTGCAGTCGAAGTCATTGGCGTCGATGTTGTAGGTGACGTTGTCTCCCTGGTTGACGCAGTCGATCAGGGCCTGAGGGTAGGCGTAGTTCTTGGCCCGTGAGAATGCATGTTCTCCGACGATGGGCATGGTGAATTTCTGATGAATCCCTCAATGCCGAACAATTCGCTTCGTGTAAACATTCGATGGGAAGCTGAAGGTCAACATGGCTACGTTGGATGAGATAAGGGGCCCCTGTATTTATTCGAGCAGGTCATTATCGCTCCATAAGCTGTTCTGGAACCAGAGACATATCTCAAAGAACTCGATCGGGGGCCGAATCTGGCATGGAGCCGGCTTCGGAATGTTTTGCCCAAGCCACCGCCAACCTCATTTCGAGCTTGACGACACAAAGAAACAGCTTCCCGCAACTCATGCCACATGATTCGCCCATTTGAAATATCAACTGGCTTAGGTCCTTGGCAGACGATGACAGTCCCGCCGTTTTCACGAGAACCCAAACACCATCCACGTGAAAGTCTCCAAGTCACATCAAGCTCCGGCTGACTTCCGGGCCCATCAAGCTCCGGTCGTCTTCCGGACCCCACCGGGCCGCTTTAGACCGCGCCGACCGGGCGCCCACGCTCCGGAACCCCACCTTGGCTCCGGACGTTTCCCGCGTCGCGCAACTCAATCAGAATCAGAGTTCACAGCCCGCCAGACTGTCGGATCCGTCGGGTCCACGAGCCATATGAAGCGAGTTTGAGCTGAACTCTCCTAAATCTAGATCCCATCTTCGCGGACAGCTCCCGCCAATGGTGGGCTTGGGGAGAAAATGCCGAAAGGCAAAGGGGCTGTTGAAGCTCGGGGGTGATAATTGATCCTGCATAAGATTGGGCGAAGCTTCATGAGCTTTCAACTCAATCTCGCCGACATATGACAGCTTCGGGGCGAGGCCGGCAGAGTGAGTGATTATAAGTTCAGTCTAAAGGCAGACTTACTCCTCAGGCGACAATGCCATTCGTCCGTAGACACAAATTACCAATTACACAGAAACAAAACCAAAGCAAATATGGCCGCCGTTTCCCGCCCACACTTCGACTCCGGCCTCAAACGCTGGAACCCCGACGACGACAGCATCTACGTCCTCAACCGCGGCGATGTCGCCACAGAGCGCGCGCGCCTCGAGTACAACCACCACAAGGTATGGCTGCCTCTCTGTGGCGGCCTCTGCCCGCCCCAAATCCTCGCGCACCTGCGCCAGCTCCCGGCGCCGCGGGTCGCCGAGCTCGCGACCGGCACGGGCATCTGGCTGCGCGACATGGCGGCGCAGCTGCCCTCGACGGCGGAGCTGCGCGGCATCGACATGGACACGACCAAGTTCCCACCCGCGTCGGAGCTGCCGAAGAACATGGAGATGATGCAGTACAACGCGCTCAAGCCGTTTCCGCAGGAGATGCACGGGACGTTTGATATGGTGCACGTGAGGCTGATATCGCTGGGGATGAAGAAGGATGACTGGGCGGTTGTGGCGCGGCATTTGTATGCGTTACTGAGGCCGGGTGGGTATTTGCATTGGGAGGAGGTGGGGGATGGTGTGTGGAAGGTAATTCCGCCCAGCAAGGCTTTTGATGAGTGGATGAGGATCGCGACATTGTGGTCCATGAAGGTCGGACGAGATCCTTTGTAAGTTGTCCTCTGAACAACTCCCCTGGCTCTGGGATGTCAGGATTCTGTCGGTTTCACTAATTATGGTGCAGCATGCCCGCCCGGCTACCACTCGTCGTCCAAGACGCAGGGTTCGTGGACGTGGACGAGAAGATATTCAACTCCTTCGGCACCAGGGACATGCTGCGCGAGCCAATGCTCAAGATCTCCAAAGAGCTGGTCCGGCCGGTGATGGTGTGCGTGCTCGAGGACGGCGGACTGGAGACGATGCAGTCTGAGAAGGATATTGATAGGCTGCAAGAGGAGATCAGGCGTGATGTGGAGGAAAACGGGGTCAAGTTTGGGTTTTACTACAGTTGGGTCTGGGCGCGGCATCCCTGAACCAGATCATGGACAGAGATGCCGGTGCATGTCAGCTTGACACTACGGCCTTGGTCGAGATGATGCGGGGAGATGTAGCTTGCAAACACGATTCTAGAACTCTTGCGAGCGTATGTGCTGCAGCATCTCATCCACCCACGGGGGCTGTGTAGATGTGCCATCTAATTGAAGGGCTCCCTGAGTGGAGCGTGACAAGAATGGCCCCAAGATATCAGATGCTCTCTGTCACGTAGAGCTATCTAGAACGTAGAAATTATCCACAGCTCAAGCCGGCGTTTCGTTCTCGCCTGGGTCCCTCGCGATCGCCTACCCCGCGGGGGATGGTTCAGCGGATGTGGGGACCGTGGGGTTGATGACGGCAACAATGTGGTCCCATGTGGATGCTGACGAAGAAGACTTTACCCTGCGCCGTCACCGCCGGTCTCGACTTGGCGATGTATCAGTGCGCGCCGTCATCTGATGTTGAAGGTGAGATGGTCCAGTCGCGGATGGCGCGGTGTTTCGTTCGGGGAAATGGATCGCGGGGTGGTCCCTGGCGGACAGATGGGGTGAACAGAGGAGCTGTTCGAATACGTTGTTAGCTTCGATTGTGATACAGGGGATGCGGGGACGTAGAACAGCAGGTCGTGAAGTCGAAGAATCCAGCGAACGGCTATCAAGGCGAAACCAAGGGTCCATGACCCTAGTCAAGAAAGCGCAGGGCTCATGCCAGAAGCCAGAGGTCAAAACGTAACATGAATTGTTCGACGGCTTCTGCAGCGACATCTCGACACAGTTTCGTGCTCTTCATGTGGAACTTCGTCGACTCCTGGCGAGTGGAGATGACTTCCTCGACGTTACAATGGAGTGGCGAGCACCTCCAAGATGCGTGGGCTTCGATCATTGACGGCGTGATTAACATCTGTGCAACGGAGCAAACATGAGAGTGGCATAATTGATGGGCCGTCTCGTGACAACACTCATTTCGCATCACGATGGAGGACCAACGAAGAAAATCGAGTTGATGATTCAAGTCAATTGATCTGTTCTGCTTCGAAATATCCTCCCCACCCGCAGTCTGGCTGTACGCTGCCTGCCCATGAACAAAATGGTCCTGTGAATGGTCATGTCAGTTTGTGTTCGACATGAGTGCGACAATTCATTCAAATGAGAGTTGAGGCCAGGTGTCAGGCTCTAGGTTTTGATCTCAAAGATCCAGATGTAGGCTGGATCTCGACGTCTAATTAAATTTGAGAAAACATCACGCGAGGCAGGAAAGTGATATGAGAAATGAGAAGGGGAGTTGGCTTACCTGGTCCGCGATGCTATCGCGTCAAACAGTCATCACGCTTGTGCCCAGACGGGCTCCAGACGCGTTCTCTGTTCCTTCCACTTGGTTGGTGCCAGAGATGCTGTAGTTAGTACGGCAGCCAGTGTCAAACGAGCAGATGCATCGCTTCCATGTGAACAACAAGCTTGCCGGCCTGAGAGAGCCTCATGACAGCTCTCGACCACATTTTGGTGGTGGCGGTGATGCAGAAGGGAGGTTGCCGAAAATTTTCGAGGCTCAATCCGGCTAGGCGAGTCTTATATACCGCGCACGTGCTGAGGGCACGATTGGCCAAACCCGCAAGCCACCCATGATATCCTTCTATCCACGGACCCACACCTCGGTCTCCCAGGCGTCTAAGCGGTAGAGTGTTGTAAAAGGTATTCCTCAACCCCGAAGGTGGTGTTGCAGACGAACTTGTAATCGAGACCTGCAAGAGTGGACGTGAGTTCAATATTCTTGGAAGTTCGAAGTGAAAATCTGGAGAGGACATGTAGAATTTCAGGACAATTTAAATAAGAAATCATGGTCGCTTCGCACCAGCGATCAGCATCGCGAGAAGTTTGTCATCACAACAGAGGCTTGGCATGAATGGCAACGATGAGAAATGGGAACTTGCCTTTTGCAAACGCGGCAATCCGTGACTATTCTGAAATCGCCATCACGCTTCAGCTGTATCGTAGGGGACACTTCCGTCGATCAACCCAGGCTTCTTGGGCCCTTCTCACCATGGCAGCTGGGTCACGGCGCGACGCGTGATGGGATGGAGCCCTCGAATTCGCCTGAGACGTCGCGGTATCAAGGGCTCATCGGCGAAACGGCAGCCTTCGATGAGAATCAGCCCCGATGGCGTCCAGAAAATTTGCTCTGTGAAGATGGTCAGATGCTGCAGAGATCCAGGCGGTAGGACTGTTGGTTGGGCCAAGCGTGACTGTTCAGACACCGGAAATTGTAATCATCCAGCCCTCCAAGCAGGTTTCAGGGCACTACTTCCGGGTTGTCATCATGACAGAATCATCGTGGTAAAATCTCAAGAAGAACAGGCGTGCTTACGGTGCAAATAGCTGTCGGGGGGCAGCATTTCTCGCATCTGAGCCGGGGTGGTACTGGTTGGCAGGAGCGACCAGAGAACCTGCCACAGGCGGTAGGTGATGGTAAGAATCTGTGACACGGCACGTCCTGGTAAGCCAGAGTTCGAGAGAAATGTCCAAGGGGAATTGTATGAAAGAGGAAAGCGCTGGTCAGACACGAGAGGGATCAATCATCTTGCCCTCCCAAGCATAGATCAGACCACCAGCACTCGACGATGTCATCACCACAGCAATCGGCGACCAAAATGTTGAATGTGAGCAGGTACGTACCATAGCTATCAAGACAGGTTCCAAAGCCAGTCGCCTTGCGATGCTGCGAATGAGTAGTTGTGGACAGGTCAGGGGTCTGGGACGCGGCTGCCGTCGTATTGAGACGCAAGGTTAGTCGGAGAGGCAAGAAAGGTCTGCTGATACGACCAAAAGTAAGAAGAAGCCTGAACTATTAAAGGCAAGTTAGCCGATGAACCTTGCGTGGACGAAACCCAGATTGTGGGGGGAAGGTGCGAGATCAGAAACATAATGGAAGGTCCGCATCGACCGCTGACGCAGTCTTGGATTTGGAATGAGATAGGATCATCATCGCACTGAGGAGAAGTGAAACGGAGATAAGATGCTTACAACTTTGATGGCAATGTTTTGCCGTCGTTGACGCTGCAAATGGGGTTTGGTGAGCTGCAGGTTGGCGATGGAAAGTTGGGTGG